GGTGCGTGGATTTTCCCATAAAGAGGGTAATAATTTAACAACTTCTTTTTGGCACGCACTTTCCCACATGATGTACTCTGTGGGATTGAGGAGGCATGAAAAAAGTCGCCGCAGATCCGCAGGGGTGACCACCGAATTGGAGAGTGTGGCCCTCAGGATTCCCCGGAAGTACTTGCTCTCCCGGGAGTAATCCTTTTGGGCCTTACACAACTCCTTGATGGTCTGGTGTGGGAAGGGGGTCCATTGGACTTGGGCCGCTCCCTCCCTCTCCGGATGGTAAGTGACCGGAGCCGCTGATATAACAGGGATCGGCTCCGGGCCCCGGCCCCCAGCCCCCCCCCCAGCACCCGCTTGAGCATGGGAACCGGAAGGGGGAGCGTGGGAACCGGAACTGGGAGAGGAAGAGGAGTGGCCTGGGATGGGGGCGGGGACAGGTGGTATTTTCGTCTCCGCCTCCAGGGCGTGGTAGGAGGGCAGAACCGACACCGGAGGAGGAGGAGTCGCGGAGGGAGGAGAAATGGGAGGAGACGGGGGTGGGGCGGTAAGAGGGATAGAGGAGGGGTAAGGGGAGGAGTCTGGAAAATTGAAGGGATTGTTTAGGGAACGAAAGGGATTGTGGGGAGAAGAAAAGGTTTTAGCGGGACGCGCCATGCGGTCCCCGCCATTTTGGGCTCCACGGGAGCCATCTTGGAGAATATCAGAGGACGGGAGATTAAACTTAACTGAACGTTTAGACATAACAAACACAATACAACAGCAGTGGATGCAACAGCAACGCGCCCTTGGGCAGAGTCACCCACCCACACCTTGGGCACTATTACTAACTGTGTAGCCGGCACCTACAATAGGGAAGTGACCCTTCTCCTCTGTCTGGTACTTGCAGGACTTTATCTGGGTTACCATGTCCAGTTTTGGTCTTCTCATTACAGAAGCTCATTGTCATTCTGAAATGAGTCTATGAAAAGGTGACTAATATGGCCAGGGGGCTGGAGAACATGAGGTATAAGGAGAGGTTGAAAGTTCAGCCTGCACAGTTTAGAGCAGAAAAAGTTAAGAAACTTTGTGGCTGAATAAGACTACTTAATGGCACAATACCGAGAAGATGGCACCCAGAATTTTCTTAGAGATGGATGGTTTTGGCTGACCCTGTGTTTCCCAAGTTGGAACATGGGAAGTGTTGAGTACTTATTAACAATTTGTTTATTACAAGATAAACAGGTAGCCCGGAGAAGTTATGGAAACACTGCGCTGTCCTTGGAGGTGTTCAATACTCCACTGCACATGGCTGTGAACCACCTGATATTAAGCTTAATGTCTTGGTCTAGTTGATGTCTAGACATCTCTTTCAACATAAATTACAATTCTGTGATTCTACCGGTGAACTGATTCTAATACCAAGAACATGTAAGGATTAACAGAGTTAAAAAGCTAAATACATACCTTTCTCCTTTCTGGCATTTCCATGTGTGACCCTTTGAATACCCAGCAAAGTCCTGTCACATGCCCAGCATATTTTTCCCTTCTATTCATATAGAAGCCTTATTCTTTCTGTGCAACTCTTGTTCCCATCTCCTGGCTCAACTTTGTCAGTTCTGTATCTGTCAGTGAGTTCAGAATGCAGACAGCATGCTTAAAGTCAAAATTCTGCTCAGAAATTTGCACTTGGAAAGCACTGCCAGTGCTCCAAAACCTTCATTCCAGCAGACAGGAGCATCCTTCATTGTAAGCTGTGTGTTGTGGTGCCTCCACAATGATCATCTTCCCTTGGGTGAAGGTACACCTCAGGGTACAGCAACACTTCAGTCCGAAGAGCCTGGGTCATAAGAGCAAACATCATTTAGTAACAGGCATTGAGAAAAAAAAGAAAATAATTTTCTTTCTCCTACTGTGGAAAGTCTTCTGTATTTGTAATGGTGATAGGCCTTTTGCTCCCCCACAGCATGTGATTTCTGAGGAATACCAATAGATAAAATCCTATAGTAGGTCTATTAACTCATCTATCTTTCAAACCAGCTTTTGCTGGTGGTGACTAGTATATCAGCCCTGTGAGGTAACACAGACTGGTTTGTTATCCCTGACACACAGAATGTCCACGTCCGCGTGGCAATACCTGTCTCTGTTTAATGGCAGGAAACCATCACTGGCAGGCATGTTACCTCAGAAGCTGAATAATTACGGAATCACAGAATGGTTCAGGTTGGAAGGGACCAGAGGGTCCAACCTCCCTGTCCAAGCGGGGTCCCCCTAGAGCCTAGGGCACGGCGCTTGAGTATCTCCATCAAGGGAGACTCCACAGCCTTTCTGAGCAATCGCACAGGAAAGAAGTTCTTCCTCATGTTCAGGTGGAACTTCCTGTGCATCAGCTCCTGCCCGTTGCCTCCTGTCCTACAGCCTGGCAGCACGGAGCAGAGCGTGGCTGCCGGGGGCCCGTTCCCGCACTGCGGCTGCCCGCGCCCAGCGCTCCCTGAGGGCTCTCAGGGCCCCGAGCTCCGCCACCCGCCCGCCCCGTGTTTACCCCGAGCCCCCGCCCCTCCCCTCCCGACGTCACCGGCGTGGCCGTGACGTCAGGAGGCCCGGGCGGCGCCCGGCTGGGCGGCGGGGGGGGGTGCCCCCAAGATGGCGGACCAGATCCCGCTGCGCCCGGTGCCGCGCAGCGCCCAGCGCAGGGCGGCCTATTACAGCAGCGCCGCCGCGGCGCAGCGGCACAGCAGGTACGGGCAGGACCGGCGCGGCGGCCGCTGCTGCCCCCCGCCTTCCCATCTCCTTCCCCTGTCCCCAGCCGCGGGCGGGGCGGTGTGCGCCCCTCGCCCAGTCCCGCTGCCCTGCGGGGCTCCGGGACCGCCCGCCCGCTCCGCGGGGAGGGAGGAAAGGGGTGGCGGCCCCGCCGTGGATGGCGAAAGGGGGTGTTGGCAGTCGTTGGCTCTCGCAGGCCTCCGCGGTGGGGGCCGCCTCTATCGGGCCGCTGTTCCCGTGTCCCGGCGGCGGGGCTGGGACTGGGACGGGCTGCGGTGGCGGCGGGAGGATGCGCAGGGCGCCCTCGGCCCGGCTGCTCCCGGCGCCAGCCCCCCGCCCGCGGGTGCGGCCTTCGCTCGCCCGGCCCCGCCGCCCGCAACTCCGCGCAACTCGGGTCCCTTGACAGGAGTTCGCTTAGGAGAGGGATGCTCGCGGCGGGGGGCTTGTTTGGGTGTCCTGGGTAAATATGTTGCCACCTAGTTGTTGGGTACTAGCACGGACACCATTCCTAAGCGTGGGAATTAAAATAGTTTCGAGTTTCCTCAAATATACACTATTTGGCTTAAACAACTTGGAGAAGACGGTTTAAGGATCTGCCATCACATTGTTTCCAGGCAGAACTGAACGTTGCTTTGCTTCCCATTATTCTGAATAATTTCTACTTATGCTATTGTTGTGAGCATGGAAAAACTCTGCTCCATGATTTTGGTATTTCCATTGGATAGCACCCTTACAGTGGATTTTGTGATTGTACTTACTAGTTACAGGTTTCTTTCCTCTTTTGGTTGTTGTAGAGCATTGTCTGTGGGTAGGACTGGAGGGAGCAGTTGAAGGATCTGAAGTAAATGGACTTGCTAAGAACAGAATAGTTGGTGCTCTTTTTCTGGTTCAAATACAGTGATAAATCTGTTTCATAATGAAGAAAATGTGATAAAACTGTTTCATAATGAATTAAATGTATTTACTTCTTTGTCTAGATGGGATAACTAACAAACAAGGTAGATTAAAGCTGTGCAAAATAGGTTAAGCTTACATTATGTTGTCTTGATTCTTAAACTAGATAAAGGGTTTTTTATGAACATTCACAAGTTTGTAGGACAATCTGCCATAGCCTTCCCTATCTTGCTAATACTTGAATGTCTGATAACTTGTTGTAGGTTTGTCCTCTGTCTTGAGGTAGGGCAGTTTCTTACAATTAACCTTATTCCTTAGAGAACTGAATCAGAGAACGCTCTCACTGAAATTTGCTTCTCAGTAGGTGTTGTGCTTGGAAATAAAGAGGAGGATTTGGTAGGCAAAAATTTAGTCCAGGCTGTCAAAGGTACTGGGAGTTCTGTTGTAGGTTAACGAGGAGTATTCTGGTTATGCTGTGGATGGGATGGCTTGAGTCCATAAGTCAGATGGTTGCATAGGTTAATTGAAGGTGTGTGTGCAGGTGTCATTGTGGTTCTTTAGGTAAACTGTTTAATTGTGGCTTTATAAGCAGATTTGGCAAGCTGTAGGAACTAGCGAGGAACTACCAACTCATTACAGATTTGCTTCTCGCCCTCTGTCTCATCAACATTGCCCTCAAAAGATTGTGGATTACATTCCTTCCAGTTACATTCCTTCCAGTTTAGATGACATCTTTCAGTTATGGTCTTTCATAATCTGTGTATTTAACATATTTGATCCTCCATAAAAGTGATTATCTATGTTTTTAGTTACGTTTGTGCAGCTTCTTGTAGGTATATAAAAGCTTTAAAAATTGACAGGCTCATTTATTGTTTCTTCATTTTTGATCACTTGGTTAATAAATTGCTTATCTGAGCTCTGTGAGAATCAGAATACTTACACCAGCCTCTTCACTCACTTTATTGGTTTTATTTTTCTTAATGTGAGTTGAGCAGGTTGGTCATTCTCCTTCAAGAATTCCTTACCTTGGGTTTATGAGAGAACCTCAGGAAGGTGTCCTATGGACCTGCAATAAAAACATGGGAATGCTTGTGTGGAGTCTACCACAACTGTCTTGTGTAGAGTCAAAGGGGTAATACAGCAGTGCAAATAGTTGAATTACAACTTGTAAGTCTTATGGCTCTAAGCTTGCTTGAACTACATCTTCTATGTCTTTATGAATGATTCATCCTGCTTTTCTAATCTTTATCTTCGGCACAGACTCTGAAGAAGCCTTGCATTCCTGTGGAAACTGCAGCAAAGGTCCTGATGTCAGATACTTATGAGACTGTTGAAGTGAAGTCACTGAGGTCTCTGATATGCAGAAACCTATCATGTGCATGTATGCTTGAGGATTTTGCCTAAAAGGGTATAATACATATCTCTGAAGATGTCTAGAAACAAACATCTATTAAATTATACTGGAGTTGGTGTGTCGGGTTTAATCCAGTGCTGTTGTTTCTGGACCTTCAAGACTTTTTGACTTGGTATGATTTATTTTTTCAGTGAAGACTTTACAGTCTCTTGGAAGTCTTATACACACATCCTTAACTTTAGTGTGGTAGTGTTTTTAACTCCAGTTAATTGCCCTGCTGCTGTGCAACATCAGTTAATACAACTCATCAGTTGCTAACCTTTATTGGCCTGGCAGCTAATTTGTAGGATGACTTCTTTTGCTTGGGCTAAGCAGTCTGTAGGAGTCTTTGCCAGTGTTGCTGTAGCTCACTTTGCAGTGAGGACAAAGGTTTTAACACTCAGTGTTTGTCTGTAGTGCACATTGTGCTTTTGAGATTTACTAGATAGACTGATAGTGTGTATTTTAAAGATGGAATATAATACTACTACTACTACTAATAAAATATATAATAACAGATCTAAAGAAACTTCAATAATATCCACAGTTCTGTATAAGATTGTAGCCAGCTAAGAATCATGAAATGTCCTGGGTTGTGCTTTATATACAAATAAACATGACAAGATTAATGTAATTTTATATATTCATACTGTATGTGTTAAGGCCTGTTAAAAATATATTACAAATACATATTAAATATTACCTATGGTTCAATGAACACATGCATCCTCTTCTGCTTTTATTTCTGATGTTTAAGCATAACTTATTACTTTTGCAGTAGAAATTTAAGTTTTTATATTTTCTCTCATCTTTCCCTACCTCAGGTGGAGAGAGATGTGTTCATGTGTTGCCGTTAACAATTAGGGAAATCTATCTTGGAGGAAAAAGCTGGTCACCTTAAAATGAATTTGAAAAATCCTTGCTATTGTTTATTCAGTGTAGTATATTCAACTTGCATAGTTGTAAAAAGGCTTGGGGGAAAAAGCTGATTGGTTCAGCACTTGTTTCAACACCTTGTCCTTCAGCTTGAAGGTTGTTATCTACAGGAAAATAATTGCTGCTTTTTGTTTACATGGTGATGGAGAGAGAGGACCAGAGAACATTTAAGTTCACCTTAAATGTGCAGTGAGGCTTATTCTCATCTGTTTGACTTGTATTTGTCATCATCAACCACAGAGTAATCAACTGCTGACCACAGGAAGGAAGTTGACCATGCTGTCATGTGAGGTTGGTGGCAGGAAAACAAGAGGCCTGGTGGAATTTTGAAGCTGATAAGGAACTAAACAGTAGTCAACTATCATTTATCCATAAACAAAATATCTGGTTTGTTCAGATGTTCTATGCTTGCTGCTGTCAGTGCATGATTGTGTATTTGGCCTAATAGGGCTGAGGTAAGAGGTCTTGGGACTCCTGAGCTGGTACCAGAAAATCACATCTTTCCAGCTCTCCCTTATGTGACATAAATTCACTTGCACTCCAGATATTAATGAAGGAGTCATGAAAGATACCCAGTCACTGGAAGGAAATACCTTGAGCACTTGTTCATGGTGTGGGCCACAGCAGTGTATTTATGAATGGCACAACTGGATGTATTAAGTGGTTGTTGTAGGGCAAGTTGTGGAACAGATCAGCTGCTGTTGCTTGTCTCTGCAGTTTGCCACTGATGGAGCAACTCTGGAGGCAACTGACTATACTGTTATTTTGGAATTCTTTCATGTCATTGGTGAATAAGAAAATTGCACAAGAAGGAGAAATGAACTAAGTAATAGGATAATGTGTCTTTTGTACAGGTAAATGGAGGATACATGTTGCTTAACAACTTGCGAACTATTATACATACTTCACATACTTTAATGTGAAGTATGTATAATAGAAAAAAATGAAATCTGTTCCAGACAAAAGGGAATGGAAGTCTGCAGAACTTGAAGTTCAGTGAAGATTCACATGGTTCCCTGATACTTACAAATCTCAAACCAGTTTTTGTAGTACACAGAAAATAAGATTATTTAATGTAGTAATATATTGGTAACTCCCCATGTGTGAAGATGTGAGTCTGGACTCCATGTTTCAGAAGGCTGGTTTATTATATTATGATATATATTATATTGAAATACTACATTAAAACTATGCTAAAAGAATAGAGAGAAAAGATCATCAGAAGGCTTGAAAGAACAAGAATAGAATAGAATGCGTAACAAAATCTTGTGACTGTTCACAGCCTCGGCATAGGTGGCTGTGATTGGTCATCAAGTGAAAACAATCCACATGGACCAATGGAAGATGCACCTGTTGCATTCCACAGCAGCAGATAGTTATTGTGTACATTTATCTCCTGAGGCTCCTCAGGAGAAAAATCCTGGCAAAAGGATTTTTCAGAAAATATCATAGCTACAGTAATACTGTTCTAATGCTTTTGATTTGAATGAAGGCTGTTCCCAGCAATCTTCTAGTCCTTATGGTTATGATTTCTCAGAATGTTTGGCTAGGTTCCACATTGAACCATCAAAAAAGAGATTAAAATATCAATAGATAATAGTCAAGGCATGTACTGCAATTCTGTGGGATTTTTCATTTCTAACATAGTCTGATCTGAGCTTTGTTAAAATACTTTTATTTTCCTGCTGCCTTTCAGTTGTTTGTTAGAATTGTGACCTAATTCTAAACAACAATGTGATTTTCACAGTCTGGATG